TAAAATAATCCTTTTTAACCTCTACAGTTTATTATTAACGGGAGCTGTTACATTACTATAAAATCTTATTAGTTTTATTATTTTTCCTTTTATTATTATGTACCTTTTTTATTATTACTGTATTATCATTATTATTATTATTATTATTATTATTATTATTGTTTTAAGATTTACCCGTTGTGTAAGTATCATGTAAGGGGGTAGAGCAACTAAGAAGAAACACACACACACACACACACACACACACACACACACACACACACACACACACACACATTCTTCTTTCTCAGTCTCAAATCTCAAACAAATTATTTCTTACCCTCAACTTGCAACACACACTTCCTCATACTTCCCAACATACAACACACACACACACACCACCTCTTGCAACACATATCATAATCCCTCAACTAGCAACACACAGCTTCTCATAATCCCATACACATAGCTCTTACAAATACAGTACAGTAAACAAACGACATATCCAATTACACATATATATCGATACATATCCTTCTCTTCCCTTGTAAACATGACATTTTCCACACTGGTTTCCTACTCAAAACTTCTCCCTCCTCTCTCCTCTCCCTACCTACCCTTCCCGCCCCCCCCCTCATCGTTCTAAGATTCTTGACGCTTGGTTTCATCTTCGCAATTTATTTTCAGGGTTTCGGGGGGGAGGGGGGAGGGGGGGGGGTGGAAGGAGAAGAAGGAAGGGTAGAGGGAGGGAGTGGTCGGTCGTCGTGATGGATCTTACGTGAGTGTGATATAAAGGTGTTTGTGGGAGGAAGTCAGTCAGTCAGTTTGTATATTGGGTGGTGGTGTCAACATGTTGTTCGTACACGCTCTTAACCCTCTGCTATATACACACACACACACACACACACACACACGCAGGTAAAAATTGCTTCTTTGTTGTCTTTTTTGTTTAAGTTTTGGTTAGTCTCTCTCTCTCTCTCTCTCTCTCTCTCTCTCTCGTAGAATTAAGTAGAGACAAGAAGAAAGATAATGAAACAGTAGAAGGAGGTAGAAATGCAGGTACGAAAATCTTAGGTTATATTTAAAACCTACCCCTGGCAACTGTGACCTACTTCTCGCTCCTATGACCTACCCTTCGCTCCTCTGACCTACTCCCCGCCACGCTGACCTACCATTCCTCTATTTAGTGTATACGCTCCACTCCGCCTCTCCTAGTTGACACAGTAAGCAATATCATCATTATGTCAATGTGTGGGTGTCACCAGGCCGGCCGCGAGTCACTCTAGACATGCTGAGGTACATCATCTGAAATACCTTAATAACTCGGCTCGTTTCATCCCCGCACTGAATCGGAAACTAATTACTGTTTATAAAAAAAATCCAAGTCCCACTAATTAGACTTCAAGTGAACGAGGTTTGAAGCCGTTAATAAGTGTTTATTACATTTGTCACAACTCGTCAAGGAGGTTGTAGACTGACTGCCTGACTGCTTGCCTTGACTTCAGGTCAGTGAGTATCAACAGACCGCTGCAAAGTTTAACAAAGATGCTGTATAATGTAAATATATGATCAATTCTTTTGTTAATCGGGAACCTTAAATGATGACTATATTTTAGGATGTGGAATAAACAAGCAAAAAATATATGTTCTTTGCAATGATCAGATTATATTACCTACTGACCTAACATAACCAAACCAATCCGGAAAATATTTAGAGTGGAGGACTGTGTTCGCCAACTATCAGATATAAGGATGGTACTTTTGGTAGATTAATAAAGTGTCAATTAGGTTAAATCCGTGGTAGTTAGGTTCAGTTAGGGTTGGTTTAGTCAGGTTCAGGCTAATTACAACACTGTCAGAGTAATTTTGGTTAAGGGACGAAAAATCGGGTCCCACTTGAGCCCCGGGATCACGCTGGGCTTGCTTAGGGATGAGTGTGTGTGGCTCGGTGCCGGGGACAACTTTCCCTGGACATATTTACGACGGAAAATTTCTTCCTGGTAAGACACATCTCCCGTGGGACAAAATCACGGCAGCGCATTTCTCATGAGATAAAATCCCAAGATCCGTTTTTTAACAGGATAAAATTTCACAAGATAATTTCTCACCAGAAGAAGAAGAGGGAAGTGGGTGTGGTTATAGGAGAGGGAAGTGGGTGTGGTTATAGGAGAGGGAAGTGGGTGTGGTTTATAGGAGAGGGAAGTGGGTGTGGTTATAGGAGAGGGAAGTGGGTGTGGTTATAGGAGAGGGAAGTGGGTGTGGTTATAGGAGAGGGAAGTGGGTGTGGTTAACGAGTGGGAGGAGGGAAGGAGGTGTTTAACAGGTGAGTCTCCATGTGTGTCTCTGTGTATACGAGCGTCTCCCTCACTAACAACGAACGAAGTATCAGTCTACTTCCACCTCTCAGATATCGTCCCTGTGTTCACCCCTTAATCCACCTTGCCTTCCGTCGACTCCTTACACCCACCACCACCACCACCCCACTAGGTTACACAGTCGTAAACACACTTTGAAAAACATCAAACTCAAGCGTGTAATACTACCAATTTAAACCATTCCCATGATGCCTATATCGAAGAACCCTCTCAGCTGTAAGTTCACTTCACCCACCCCCTCGTTTTCTCCCTCCGCTCTTCCGCGAAATAGAAGAAATTTGCCCTTTAACCACATTCCTGGTTGAAGTCTCCAGTGGGAAACGCGAGGGCCTGAGCGCTGAGGGGGAAACGTAAGGGATCGGGTTCTGAGGTAGTGTGTGTGTGTGTGTTTGTTTGTGTGTGTGTGTGTGTGTGTGTGTGTGTGTGTGTCAACTCCCATCATCACCAGTACGGCCTTTGGTAAGGTTGTTGAAGAGGCTGGAGAGGTCGTCCTTTGGTGCAAATCTCACGTATAATACAATCATAAGACGTGTCTGGCCAATCTTCATGCTCCTCCAAGTTTGTTTATGGTGGAACGTCTTGACATGAGATAACTTACAGCCGTGTGTGTGTGTATTCCCTGTCTATTGTGGCAGGTTTAGGTGTGCTATCACGTCTACCTTTCCTGACATGACTAAAAATTATTATCGCAAGAGATTCGCTTTCAAGTGCACCTTAATGGGAACAATGACCAATTGATCATTCATGTTATTCTATCCATCAATCCTTTTCTTCTCACGTCAAAGTTGCTAGGTGAGGCAGCAGGGCAGATAGTGTTGTCGCCGCACACAGCAAGGTGTAACTTTCCCTTATTGGAAGGAGAAATAACCCCTGGAATTTTCTCTTCATCCTTATCTAAGCCTCTTAGGGTCACTCGCAATTCCTTTACCTGGTCCTCAGTGGCGGGTCAGTAGCCACGGTACTGCTGGAAATGTTAAGAGGATCAGATCAGAAGTATTAGCCTTGTAATCACATATCCCAGGGTGATGACAAACATCAAGGTACTGAACCTTTGAGGTGACAGTATGAGTCCTGTGAGCAATATACAAGCTGGACATAAATCATACGGGGTTTCGATATCGTAAGTATATTTTCTAGTGCATATCTCACAGTATATCCCCCGAGTGTTGCCAATAAGTATACCCTCCTCCTCCTTCTTCCCCCTCTCTACTTTTCTCAGAACTACTTGAGTCTCCTCTAAAGTATCTCTTTTGTACATTTCCACATCCACCTTTATCATATTTTCTTTCTCTATTGCACACGTACGATTTCCTTGTTTTAAGCTATGCTACGTACCGTGGCTTTGTTGCCCTGACACCTCTCATGTGGAATTTTGCTTCACCAAGGGGCCGTAAATCTTGGTTTCCTCGCCACGGTGATGCCATGATGGTGTAATAAGGGACACTATTTCAACCTATCTCTGAACCCTTCGTGAACCTTTGTCTGATTTTTTAAAAACAATTTGTGAACCTATGTCTGAGCTTTTAATATCGGAACTCTTTTTGTGAACTTCTCAATTTTTCTCTGATGAAAACCTCTAGGCCTTCTAGACATCCAATATGGAACCTTTCTTGAGACATGTGGCTTCTATTTTTAGCTGCTATTTCACTCTCAAGCATTGGCACAATGTTGGTACACTGGGTGTTGTGGTCCAGGCTGTGGGTTAGAGAAGTCGAGGAGAGGAAGGTAAGGCTGTGGAGAATAGAAGGGAGGAATAAAGGAAGAAATGAGGCTTTGTACAAGAAGGTAAACAGCAAGAGTAGTCATTCCATGCTCCCTGCAGTGTATCCGACTCCTCACGTTCAATATTTGTCGGTGTTGAGAGTGACAATTCTTCCCACACCCCAGGTAGGTACACTCACCCCATACCTCCCCTGGATCGTGGTTTACACCCCCCTGAGTGCTCGTGACGACCCACAATGCCGCTCACTGTGAGGTGGCCTTCGTATTTAGAAACATTGTATAGAGCCAGTGGAGACCTGGCATTCATACACATGCACTATATAAACTCGACCCTCGGAATTCTTCACAGTTCACGCGGCCGAAAATACCTATGATCTATCGTTATTAACCTGGTGAGCGCAGCTGACCCTTGGAGATAGGTGCTGACGTTCCATTCCCCGGGATGTCGTCTTTTCATCCCGAGATATTGATCTTTGTGATGCTTATGATGCCGCCTCACTGCTCATCCTTCCGCGCGTGTGACCCCGTGTTGCTTCCCTGTTCACTGACAGATCCTCCACTCTGTCATTGGATACAAAGTAATTGCTTCCAGAAATGTAATTTTCCTCTTCTATCAAACTGTAAGAAATTATGTGACTTAGAACATCGGGTATTATGATGTCTTCCTACTTTACCATGATGAAAGTTTTCTACCTGTACATTATGTGAATCATCTCATGCACCTGTACAATTGTTTCTGAATTGAAGATTTTTCTCAACCTACTATTATAATGATGTGATATTCGTATCTGTATTTGTATATTTTTCAAGCTACGCTCTTTTTATGAATTAAAAATCTGAAGTTAAATGGATATTACTGTAAGTGACACATTAACCAGCGCTCCAACACCACAAGTGAGTAACTGGAGGCGTCTTCACCCGCAGATGCCGTGCCGCGTGGATGCCACCTGCGTTAAGGCGCTCCTCCTCGCTCTGGTGACCCTCACTGCCTGCATCACCCCAGCCACCTCCCAGGTCAGTGCCATCTTATCATGAGTAACATTATCACTTAATAACTACTGAAAATGCGTTGGAAAACAAGATAAAAAACGTAATCAGAATTAATCAGTATCCTGCGCCTCTACCCACTTATCTTGTAACTAGCAGCGGCTGAGTAAAATTGCAGATGTTAGCCCACACATCCACGGCCCTTCTTGATTACTCTCTCCTAAATAATCAAAATATTTCTACTACTCTACCGGCGTTACATTAATCCTAATACCCTGTACTCTGATAGCAACAGTAATCATGGACACCGTTATATAAACTCAATTATTACTCTAAGTCGAGGACAGATTACATAATTCTAATATTCTGATATACATAGCATTACAGTGATCCTTAATCCTACCCTCTGGTAATTCAGTTAAACTTAAAATCACAGAAGCTTATGAACTTACGATAAAACTAAGGTAGACAGAATACGCCGTCGTAAGGTAAAGTCCAACCCTCTAAACAGAAGACGCTAAGTAAAGTCTTTATCTAATATCAGTGTCACTCCAGATAGTATTTAGAGCAGTAGCTTAAATAAACCAGTGAGACGTGTTCTGATGTCTCCAGTTACCAGGATATTTTATCGAACGAACCTTTGAAAATCTAGTCCCCTGAGTGTTTACGCATTACCCTGTTTGAGCGACAGGAGTAGAGGATTGAACTGTCAGTAAATCATGTTGATCTTCCCTCATTTTACTGTAAATTTAAACGCCTTTACCTTGTCGACCTGACGAACTAAAATAAATACGTAAGCTTTAACAGTAAAATAACTTCCTGGATCGAAGTTTTGAATTTTCCTCTAGAAAAATAATGTGACAGGAAAACACGTAAGCAGTATACTGAAACACGATCTCATCACCTCATATTTACTACGAACGTGAGAGGAAAGGGTGAAAACAACATGAAGAAATGTCAACACATATTTACTCTAAAAAAAAAAGGGGTTATGAATAAGTCAAAGAATATGTACAATTGTTACGTGATAGGCAGTATGTAAAATAAATTCCATCATTCAGATACACCAAAATAGTTCAATAAGATTAAGTTAATGAGATGGCGATAAGTCGAGTACAATAAAAACCCACGAGTAGGTAATAAGACTTGTGAGTACCTCCTCCACATGAGTATATTAGTCACAAGTCTATAATGCCAAGATTTTTAATTACTTTTTTCTATTAAACACAAATGACTATAAAGAAAGAAAGAAAACTGGGAACTAGAACACTCGTAAAAGAATAAAATAAATAAACTCCAGTATAAGTCAAATTAAGGAGACAATAATGAATAAAAATAAAAATAAAATATTGGTAAACGTCAATATAACGACAAAATATCACAGACAATCACAGTTACATAAAAAACAGAAAAACGAAAACAAATATAAACATCAAAACAAACAAATAAAATACCCAATAAAAACCACCAAGTCCATGAAACAAACAAAAAATGGTGAAAATCAAAACAAGTCAACAAAACGTAATCTCACCAAGAGAGAGTAAAGGCTTGACGTCAGGGTGAAAAAACACTAGGGAGTCAAGTTTCACCATCTCTATACCAAGAGAAAATAGCTTCAGCAACTCTTACAAAACATACGACCTTTGATGTATACTCTCAAAGGCATGTTATACGTCTCAAGAGTCACTTAATGTTATATATGACGTGTAAACAGTAATTCCCTTTTTAGCGAGTTAATGAGCTATATACCTGTATGATGTTTTCGCAGGTAAGTTGAGGAATATGATTTGGCCGCAGGTGTAAATATTAACAGAATGATGAGGTGATACTGTGGTGTCAGGTGTGGGTTATGATGTGATACTGTGGTGCCAGGTGTGGGTTATGATGTGATACTGTGGTGCCAGGTGTGGGTTATGGCGTGATACTGTGGTGTCAGGTGTGGGTTATGATGTGATACTGTGGTGTCAGGTGTGGGTTATGGCGTGATACTGTGGTGGATACTGTGGTGCCAGGGTGGCGTGATACTGTGGTGCCAGGTGTGGGTTGGCGATGTGATACCGTGGTGCCAGGTGTGGTTATGACGTGACACTGTGGTGCCAGGTGGGTTATGGCGTGATACTGTGGTGCCAGGTGTGGGTTATGATGTGATACCGTGGTGCCAGGTGGGTTAGCGTGATACTGTGGTGCCAGGTGTGGGTTATGATGTGATACTGTGGTGCCAGGTGGGTTGGTGGCGTGATACTGTGGTGCCAGGTGTGGGTTATGAGGACACTGTGGTGCCAGGTGTGGGTTGCGACGTGATACTGTGGTGCCAGGTGGGTTGGTGATGGATACTGTGATGCCAGGTGTGGGTTGTGTTGCGATACTGTGATGCCAGGTGTGGGTTATGATGATACTGTGGTGCCAGGTGGGTTGGTGATGTGATACTGTGGTGCCAGGTGCGGGTTACGGATGATACTGTGGTGCCAGTGGGCTATGGCGTGATACTGTGGTGCCAGGTGTGGGTGGTGACGATACTGTGATGCCAGGTGTGGGTTATGATGTGATACTGTGGTGCCAGGTGTGGGTTATGATGTGATACTGTGGTGCCAGGTGTGGGTTATGGCGTGATACTGTGGTGCCAGGTGTGGGTTATGACGTGATACTGTGATGCCAGGTGTGGGTTATGACGTGATGCTGTGGTGCCAGGTGTGGGTTATGGCGTGATACTGTGGTGCCAGGTGTGGGTTATGACGTGAGACATTAGAGATAAGTGAAGGTTTAGTACTAAAGTGGTCCTAACCTTTTCCAAATTCACTTTGAAATCTTTTCGAAAATTTAATCCAACTTTGTGTTATTTAAATTCCTAAATCAGTTCCAATAAGATTTTTGTATTATTATTTACAAATTAATATTCTATCTTTTCGCCTCAAACAATCTGAAATACAACCCCCCCCCAAAAAAACTGACAGACAGACTAAAGAAGCATTCCTACCAACAGAGACTAATACTGTGAGAGATTCCTTAATAACACTAGTATCTACATTTCTCTTAAAAACAACAAGAATGAAGCACCTACAGTCGTTTTCTAATATACCAAGAAAAGTGAAGCACCTCCCGCGTGTGTTGTGGTGGAGTATAATATAATCAGACTATATGTAGGGGGGGATAAAAATAATACCATATATAAGACTTTCCGGGGGAGATGCATCAACGACTTCCATGAAAATATTAAAGTTATCGCTCCGGGGATGGATGTCTCAGCCTCTCAGTGTCAACACCATGAAGGAGGGGGATGGGGGTTAGGAGGGGGGTGAAGGGGTTAGGTAGGAGGGGGGGAGGGAGAGGTGAAGCAGAAGGTGAAAGGGGTTATTTTAGGAGGGTAAGGGGAAGGTGTGTATGGATGGACAGGGGATAAGAGAGGGGTGCATGGTGAGGGTATAGGAGGCTTATGAAATGGGTGAAAGGGAGATCTTAGAGAAGGTAGGAGGCTTATGGGGAAGGATGCTTAGGGAGGAGGAGGCTGAGAGAGAGAGAAAACGAAGAAAATAGAAAGGGGGTGTTTGTGTGTAGGGGGTAATAGAGGGAGGTAACTGGGGGAAACGTGTGTAGGAGGAGGAGGAGGAGGAGGAGGAGGAGGAGGAGGAGGAGGAGGAGGAGGAGGAGGTGAGATTACAGGCGACACAAGTGATGTATGAAAATGATGGAATTATGTCAGTAAGGACGGAAGGTGTGACTGAGGATATGGTGATCGTGGCCACTTAATATTAACATCAATATACATTTCCTCGTGGGAACTTAATAACACACACACTTATACATATACGTAGTTTTACATATCCATTAAAACAATAACATTTCCAACAAAGCCTCCTGGGGGTAATTATATTTCCAATCTCCACAAACCAGTAACAAAAAACACTACATAATCAAGTCTAGGGCTCACATATGTCTCTGTCAACACACGAGTATCAGGTTGTCATTTACCGTCTGCTGCTCGAGGTGATATTAGTACACTGATATTTTGAGGTATTGTTTTAGTCTTCGTGTGACCTACTTAACGTTTTCTGTGTTGTTATTCTTCTTTCTCTTTAATTCTCATCCCCTCAGCTTTCTATCTCGTTACTACTTCTCAGTCCTTTCTCTCTCTCTCTCTCCTCTCTCTCTCTAAGAATATTTTGGTAATCTCTCGTATCTCTGTATCTTTTTCTGCCTATACTTGTTTCTCTCTAGTTCTTATGTCTCACTCCTCCTCCTACAGATTCACTGGAACCGCGGGTGGGGGGCAGGAGGCTCCATGGGCAAGAGGTCGTCGTCAGCAGCAGCATCTTCGACATCGCCCATAGAGGGAGGTCCAGCAGGGGACAACGAGGTGGTTCTCAGTCCTGAATGTAGCCTCGACCTGACCTACATCTCCAGCCTCCTCGCTAAGATCATCGAGGTACATCACTAGCAAGTTCTAATAGACCCTAACCTAACCTAACCATTATCCTTGGGACCTAACATGTGTATTTAAACTGAACTTAGTCATAATAAACCGTATCTGACCAGCTCACTTAAGCTATGATGCAGAGACAACAGTCAAAATAACACCAGAGTCGCAATGAGACTAACATAATTAAGTGCCGTCTATTGCACTTAGTTTAGGGAGGAGGGAGGAGGAGGAGGAGGAGGAGGAGGAGGAGGAGGAGGAGGAGGAGGAGGATTGTACGAACCTTTGAGAATAGAGACCCAAGGAGTCAAGTAGCCGTGTTACCAGCCTGAGGCCCCAGCAACTAGATCCTCCCCCTTTATCTCCACCTTCTACCTCTACTGAAACTTTCCTCACTAATTACTTTATATTCATTAACATTTCCACGTATACAACACTTCACTTATCATTTATTACATTATTATCTCTGACATTCTGAGTGGCGATACATGTGTCAGGTTTCAGGTGAGAGGCACATACCTGGGTGTTACTTTATGATGTATATCGATCGGGTGTTTGTCAGAACATCTTCATTAGTACCCTGGCTGGTGAGGAGACTACCCAATACTGAGTCACTATGGCTGGATACACAGGTTAACTTTCTAAATTTTCACTATACTGTATCTTCAATGATTTTTGTACCATGGTAGTAATTTATTTTATGTTAATTTTTCTACGGTGTCATATGGGTATATTTAAATGATCATAGAGGGAGATTTGTAGTAATTGTAAAGCACATTATGATGTGTTTAGTACTCGTGTTCCTGATGTGAAAATAACTAAGTAAATATATCTCACTCCCAACATAACGTCATAAATCCTCTCCTCACATTTCTTAACCCTATTATGTCAATATTCATCTTACAGACCCTAACTTGACCCATCTTGATTCCTGGCCTCAGTAACTCCGTCAATAATATCTCATGTTAAAAACCATTTTTTCCCAAAGCAAGCAACAATATTCTCGTGGCAGTCCTAACCCATTGACCAGAATATATAGGGTGTCCCAGGAAAATGTCCCTGCCTCCCTTCCTCCAACTCACAGTGTCTCAGGGAGCAGGCGGGGACATTTTTCTGGGACGCTATTGTACTTTTTTGACCACACTAATCCACACTTTGCCCCGGCAGAGTGAAGTGTCGAGGATGGCGACGTGTGAGGTGCGGGGTCGGTCGGTGGGGTCGTCGACGATGATGACTGGAGAGCAAGACCAGCTTGCGCGCTACCCCTTTTGGATGGCGATGAGGAAGGCGCCCACTACCGACCAGTAATGCCCACAACACGCACCAAGACCCTCGATCTCTCTTTACTTTCCCACACGCCCCTCCTTCAAGACTCCTCTGCCACGCTACGTGTCTCAGGTCTCCGCTGTCACTACTATTTACTATTACCACTTAGGGCAACCGATAACCTCCGCACATTGTGATATACCACTTTTGGCATTTGTGTTTTAAGTGTATTCACGAAGGGTAGTGAAAGGCTCCTGTCTCCTCCCGTCGCTAAGCCCGCAGGTACAGCCGCTCCACTACGAGTAAACAAACGAGTCTATTAGTCCCTCTTGTTTCAGTGAAACAGTATAAATAGAGTAACACGCGAGAATGAAGAGGATCAAACTCCAGAGTGCAACTGTATCTCAGATTCAACGTTGGAGTGGCTGAACTCTGCTGTTGAAAACTTGGGGAATTCATTTTCATATGTGTCTGAAGGATTTTGTGAGATTCAAAGGGTATTCATGTTAATGTTATTCAAATGAGTACATGAATAAACTGTGTCTTTGATGATTTGATGGAAATAAAGACTTCGGTATCATTTAACCAAGATATTTTACAAGACTAATATTACAACCATAAGAGTATTACTGTAACTCGAGCAAGACATAATTCTCTCATATATAAAACACTTTCATCCCAAGACAAATTATTTTCTCTTATAATCTAAGTCAGACTCACAAACTGAAAATATATTTGTTCTCAATACTGTACCAAAGTAACTGTCTCACAAACTGAAGAACGAATGACACTGTCTCAGAAGCACACAAACGAAACAGAATTCCCGCTACCAAAGCACTTATTTGACCTAGAGCGTTACGTTAATGCATATAATGTCATACACCACATATTTATTCCTACACTTAGTATAATTATCTCAACTGTATAATCTACTATAATCATCGTAGGTAAGCCCAGGAGTACTTAACCCCTTGAGTACGATGGTTTGATCTCATGAGTACAGTGTTATTATACTAAAGAGATTTACCCATGGTATTCAAAGGGATAACACATCGTACTCAAGGGATTAAGTCACCTTACTCAAAGGATTAAATCACCGTACTCAAGGGATTAAAATAACACTCCTCAAGCTTATCTGTCACGACTATAAACACTTGACAACACATATTACACACACCAATCACCTAACACCGTCAATCACTATCACTTGTACTAAATAATTATATCCTTCAGAAAGTGACTTCAGTATTTTTAATATTAAAATATAGAAACGAAATTAAATTATCGTTTTCAAGCCGAATTTTTGCCTCACACAGTATAAAGAAATATTTTATACACTAAATTATCGTCTCACATACACTTTATTGTTCTAGGAAAGGTGACAGCGAACGTAATACCGAACTAAACCATGTCTAAGGAACAGGTTAATCAGTGTCTTAAGAAAAAGCAACGTCAGTAAATAATGTCTTGAAGGTACAGAAATAATATGTCTCAGCGTGCAGTCATAAGCACAGCAAGTTAACGGAAATGTCATTAAAACACTACAATATTTGACTAAAATATCTCAAAACACACCGACAGTTAACGAAATAATAACTGGCACAACAAAGAGTTAATTCGACAATATCTCAAGACAGGAGCCGAGGTCCAGATGATGCTGAAGACGTAAGCGTTGGACATTTCATACTGCATTGGTCTGAGGTTGGATGCAGTACGGAATGTGGAGCTATGTATGTATAACCTGGGCTGCCTGGGAACAATATTAATAATAAAAGCAAGAGTGTTAAGTCTGGTGTTTTACTTACCCTTCAAATCTTTTTCCTTCCTTTAGTGAGATAATTTACCCAAGAACTTACGGATGCTGAGGCAGAGTGGATACAGCAGTCTCCTCCTCTCCTAAAGATCGTTGGTTCGATCCTAGAGCACCCCTAATCTAGTCCCCCCAGGTGTAAATGAGTATGAGTTATAGAAATGAATGCGATCGAGTACACAGAACCAGCCATACTGCCTCCTTATGCACCAAAGACTAAGTATACTCGGTATGTTGTAGCCAAGCTGTCCCTAGTGGGTTGACAAGGCCTACAGGACTCACTCTCACTTTCACCAAACGCCTTCCTCGGAATAATTTACCTAAGAATAAATTAACGTCAACTTGTATTTAACCTTAATTATGAATGACAAAGATGGCTGAGAATTGATCACTGGTTGCCTTAAGCTGTACTTGTGAAAATATCCCGCAGGTCAAGGAAGGCGGGTTGGCACTGGGGTGATTAAAGGCAAAAGAAAATACAAATCAACATAACATTACTACATCACAATTCTGTCAACTCCCTGTGAGGTCAAGAGCTGTCAACTGTCATGCTACCGCTATCACCCTTGTCATGCTGGAGCTGACAACATCCTGTTATGCTAAGAGTTAATTCCCTGTTTAACCACAGCTGTTAATTCCTTCAAGCCACAGCTGTCAACTCCCTGTGACACCCACACTGTCAACTCCATCTATAGCCAAAGCTGCAGTCAAATCCCAGTCAGGTCAAAGCTGTTACCACTTTTTAATGAGTCGCAAACCTGATTAAATGTTCATGTCTAATAAATAATGAAAACAGGACGATTAATATTCATGAATGTATTTAAATCGAGTTTTCATTAAATTTGGCTTTTGCGTGTGTGTGTGTGTGTGTGTGTGTGTGTGTGTGTGTGTGTGTGTGTGTGTGTGTGTGAGAGAGAGAGAGAGAGAGAGAGAGAGAGAGAGAGAGAGAGATATTATATCTCCAGCAATGACTCTGAGCACTATTAAACAACTTTACATATACAAGTAAAATGCATCTGACGCCTAAATAGAGAAGCAGTGAATGAAAAAATGTGAAAGCTAAACTGTTATCTTAGATCACCTCTCTTGTCTCCAGTATTGTGAGCTTAACACAACCTATCAGACGATTTCACGATAAAGTTTAATACCAGTAGTCCAGAATTGGGAAACTATCCAACATTTTCAACACGAAAGGTATTTGAAAGATGTAAACATTGACTGAAAATGGATTACGATTATCTTAAAAATTGGGATGAGAGGAGAAACTCGCCCAAAACATGTAGGTTATGTGAGAGTGAGAAACTGGCCGTTGGCAACACAAGGAGTAGTTCTGGTGGGGTCTGTCCAGCAGCCTCGTGTCCCTAGGTATACTGACCACAAAAACCAGAAGTTACGATCCCGATCAATTACCTTATAAGAGTACCCGCTGGACCGCTTATAATGAGGACGACGCATTAATAACTGACGAATCACAACGGAAAAATATGTTATCTTATTTGTGATTGGTTAAAGGTAAGGTTACGCAACAAGGACGATTGGTTAATAGAAGACAAACATGCGATCACGTGCATAGTCTCTGATTGGTGGAGAGAGGACACACCTCTATCCACGTGAGACTTATTATCTTCCTAATTGGTCAAGGAGTAATACACACCTCTGGATTTAGGCTACTGACAACTTTGCCAGAGATCACGTGAGTATGGCGGAGTTTAGTGATTGGTGGAAAGAGACGACACACCCCTGATCTGACTAGTCACCCATAACCTGTTCTCACAACACCTGAGTATATAACACCCAAACTTCCCTCGGGCTCATGTCCCAACCCACACTACTCACGGTCAATTACTCATCACCCAGGACAAACATCCCTCCAAATATTTCACAAAATCAACTAAAACATTTTGACCTTTTTACCTTTTGACCTTTCTGTCCAGTTTTCAGTCACAGTAGAGATTTGGCCAGAAGAGACAGATGGTAGAGAATCATCGGGAACTTGTTTACATTCATGAAAAAAAAATTATATCCAGTAGTTTCTGTATCAGTGGTGAAGATGGAGAGAGCAGTGTTGGTCAAGGTAGTACAGGTGGTGGTGGTGGTGGTGGTGGTGATGGTGGTGGTGATGTAGGTGATGGTGGTGGTGATGTAGGATGATGGTGGTGGTGATGTAGGTGCTAGTGGTGGCGATGGTGTACTGTAGACGATGGTGACGAAGAAGGTAGTGAAGGTCGTGGTGTGGTGATGGTGACGACGGTTATGGTGAAATCTATCCTTTACTACCCAACAACACCTTCATAAATTAAACACTAATAAAAATTAAAACCAAAAGAAATATTGGTACATTCAATATACATCGCCCACCCACCCTCCCCCACTCCACCATACCACGAATAGAATATCAGTAAAATAAACTTGCCAAAGCACCTGGTAACTAAACTACTGCGTCCAAACTTGCTAACTCAAAGCATGTCTTGGATATCGCCCGGGTAAACAAGCAAGAAGGCAACAAAAGCAAACTAAACGGTACAACCACAAAGTACAGTACTGCCTGGAGACAGATAGGGGAGGAGAGGAGAGGGGAGGAGGGTACACAACACTATTTTAGGAGTCCAACGCTCAAAGATGTCTTGCCACGGATTTTTGGACACACACACACACACACACACACACACACACACGATTGTGCCATCTTAAAAACCTTAAAATGACCTTTTAGTCAGAACTGCGTATGTTTGGCGCCGTTTCAGAAATTAATTAATTTTAACTTCAAGCACCTTGGCGGGTCCAGCACCTCGGCCAGCCACAGCCAGTCAGATAGTCACAAGGCTTAGGTGAACAGAACAGGTTTCTTGAATGTGTTTACAAGTCACCCTCTGCGTCTTAGAGTCCCTCTCTGCCTCCCTCCCTCCCTCCCTTCCCCCTGGCTCTGAATTATGATAACAGCATTGGAAGTTTCAAAGTGTGGTGGTGATGTTGGTTGTAGTGGTGGGCATGGTGTCTAAGTGGTGGTGGGGATGGTGTCTAAGTGGTGGTGGGGATGGTGTCTAAGTGGTGGTGGGGATGGTATTTAAGTGGTGGTGATGTTTTCTAAGTGGTGGTGATTTTTGGTGGGGGATGGTCTCTAAGTGGTGATTGTGGTGGTGGAGGATAGTGTCTAAGTGGTGGTGGTGATGGGAATGGGTTTTAAGTAGTGTTGGGGATGTTCTCTAAGTGATGGTTGTGGTGGGGATGGTTTCTAAATGGTGGTGATTGTGATAGTGGTGGTCAAAGTTTCTAAGTAGGAATTATAATATCTGAGTATTTTCTGTAATAGTTTCCAAATAATAGTTTCTGACTGGTAGTGATGGTAACTGAGTGATGAAGGTGATAATTTCTGAGTGGTACTGTAGATGGTACTTAATAAATAAGATATCTATAATACGATTCCCTGAGCCCCTGCCAACAGCGCCACACTCATTAAAAATGGATATTGATTCAGTTAACCTGTTCTTCTGGGATTCAACTGATCTTACGTATTAGGAAAACTAAAAATTAGGTATATTCATCGCTGGCGAGTGTACGAAAAAAATTCTCTGGACACGTGGAAGCATCTGGCATATAAGTACTGAGACAAGAGAATACATACGTGAGGTGGATTGGCATTCTAATGTATTTTCTAAGATTTTATTTATATTAAAGTAGTTTTTTTTTCATTTGGTCGTCCCTTCGTAAACAACAGACATAAAGTAAGTAACATTAATGATAGTGAAGGTCATATAGAAACAGCGTGTTTGTGTTGTTAGTTATTTAGGGCTAAATTAATATATCAACCGGCTAATAAACAATATGTTATCTTTCTCGAAAAGTAATTTCACGCTAGATACACATCCTTCTCAGTCAGCTGTGTTAAGGTGCAATACACCTGTACTCGTAAACGTGTTAATGAAGGTATTGGCAACATACTGGTCTATTGGTGTTGTGCCATAACCTGGTCCTGAGAATAAGGCTACATGTTCCACTAAGCCCAGTTTTTATCCTTTACAAATAAGACACGTGGCAAATACCACAACTTAAAAGAGACGCATCGTTTTGTACCTCTCTCCTCTACCTTCCATATCTAGACACTACAGTTCTCTTAGTTCTTTACTCCTTGGAATGATGTGGTCTCGTAGAATTTACATCACGAAGCTATAATGACTGTGTTAAAACCAAGGCAGATTAAACAGGAACACAGCGACAGGATGAAAGCTCTTGTCTGCTGAAGATATTGTAAGTTATAGGCAAAAACTGGACAGAAGACGATTACAACAACAACAACAACAACAACAACTCCTTGGTAATAAGAGCTCTTCGTTTTCTTCTGAACTTACCAAAAGAATATTATAGCCCGATTGTTAACAGCAGATCCTCAGCTTATATAAGAAATGAATAATACATATTAACTAGATTGACCAAAAATATGCAGTACATGTGCATTAATTAACTAAAGACACCAAATTTTCAGATGCTTACGACCAGCAAATAGAGATATTTGTACAGGATATGTTGACGTACAATCAAGCAGACGGCCACCTTAATATCGTATCACACTCCTAGAGGTTTGGGAAATGTAAATGGAAGGTTATTATATGCCATTATACTTGGCAAAGTTACATCTAATTTACAGACACTGTCGAAGACTTATGAAAACATTTTACACAATAGTCAGGTGTAGTGTGGCTGGGTGCCTCAGGTCCCTCCCAGTTCACCATCAGGGTCCAAATCGACCGGCCCAGCCCAGTGACGACTCTCTCATTGTCACCGCCGTCTTCTAGTCGTTGTCATTTACGAGTGTCTGTTGCGTCCGTTTAATCTTCATCTTCCATAGACTGTCGCATTGGTGTCGTCATTGTCCCTCGGGGATTGTACTCGTATAGTCCATGCCACATCCCCGTTACGTAAGAGTCCTTCACAATTAGGTCAGTGCGACTGTGCTCTCTCTGGTCTATCGCCAACACCGACTCAGTGCTTCCAGTGATCTTACCGTGGCTTGGCTGACTACTGTCTCCGCCCCTCCTACAGTTCCTCACCCGCTCCACCCAAACGTAAACACCTTATCAAACCCAGGTGGTGCAGTAGTTTCCAGGAAACGTAGCCAAGATGAAGGTGTCTGTGCGCCTGCGTGGGGAGTGGCTGCAGGTACCGTGTAAAACAGGTGAGTTATGCCTCGTGTTATCAAGGAATCAGAGCTATCATAAAATCCCGGGGAAGCTTAATTGTAAACAATATAACGTGAACTAACCTAACCTAAACGACCAAACGATCTTGGCTTATTCTTTTGGTGGCCTTAGGATTCGTTGGTTCGTCCCCTTCCCCTACAGCATTCCAAGATCGTATGGAACACCTACAGAGATCAGATTCCTGTATCAAACATGACAGATAAAAGTTCACCATTAGTGCTAATGTTTCCTCTGATTCTGCTTTTTTTTTTAACTTATTCAATATCGTTCTACCTTCTGTCGCAACTCTCTGTAAAGTTATTCTGTATATACCCTGTACGAAGAAAGTTGGTTAAATAAGTTCCAGTCCTAACGGGCCCTAACTGACCTAAACCGTTATAAGCTAACCATGGAAACTGGTATCCATTGGGTTTGGGGCCCGTTAGGACTGGGGCCTAGAGAACTGGTTATGGATCACCTGAAGATTAGAAACTCTGGGGATTAGAAAGTCTAGTTTATTTCCCCTGGAGAGCAGACATCCCAGGTTATTTCCCCTTGAGATTAGACATCCCAGCTTATTTCACGTGAAAATCAAACACCCCAGCGTATTTCACCTTAAGATTAACCACCCTAACATTAACCTAGCCCCTCCCCAGGTAGCGCATAGGGTGATTAACCTTCAGGTGAAAAAAACTGGCAGTAACTAAATCTTCACATGAACCCTAAACGCTGCCAACGACAACACTCAAACACAAAGCTGACACTAGGAACTAAAACAGCAGGGACTCAAAGTAAATCCCTAGCTGAAAAATTCTCATAACACGTAACGTCTGCCACTGTTCATAAACGACGCCTCTTAGCTGACGGAAAATCCTGCCCCGTTAAAACCAGCAGAGCGAGGGAGGTCTAAGAGGGGCCGGATCCATCTCCATCAAGTTATGACCAACTCCCGTCACTGCTGAGTCGACCATGATATGGTGGATACTTGACAGGCAATTACGTTGTTAGAGAGAGAGAGAGAGAGAGAGAGAGAGAGAGAGAGAGAGAGAGAGAGAGAGAGACTTATAAAAAATGGAATAAAAACTAGAATAAAGTAAAACTAACGAAGAATAATTTCCTAAAAGCTTTTAATATCACAGCATCAACAACTACACCACCCAACACAATTCTGCGACATAAAGATCATTAAATTAATCTGACTTACAAAATTCTCACACCCAACTTCTTATCTGTATTAAATTCTCCCTTGTGATTTAGAGGCACCACAACTACACAATTAAACAAACACAGTGTCTATAGTATCGGTTCAGTAAATCCGACGACTTTTTAAAAACGTTAAGGCAGTTCACCAGTCTGGTATCCGGATTCAGAAAGATTCTATACGTTAATTATTGTCCCTAAGTGTTAATATGTGATCTTTTACACGTTAATTTCCGTCCCAAACTGTTAATAAGTAAAAGTAAGTAGTCCAAAAAATTAACTAAAATTCACCCAACCAGAACTAAACATGTTAAGTTAAATCAAAAGGTACTCAAGGTTGGCTCACGTAACACACCTGAACTCTTCAATATACCTGTCTTCTCCTGGATTTCAACACAAATTACATATATTCATAAAAAATAATAAATAAATGCATTAATGACGTAGATAAACAAGATAGCCTCTTACTGTGTTGATGACTTGAATCCACAAATGACAGACAGGCCCCATTGTGTCTTCTGATGTGTACTGTAGGTGTTGATTGTGAAACTCTTCTTACTGTCTGCAATATAAGGATTTAATTAATGATAACAATAAACAAGAATAATTGTAATCACGGTCTCAATGATAATAAATAATGGTAATAATAATTGTATAAAAACCTGCAAACAAATATTGTCATCGTTAATATTAATAATGAACAACAACAACGATAATAATAATAATAATAATAATAATAATAATAATAATAATAATAATAATAATAATACAGTAATAATAACATAAAACAAATATTATTAACAACATCTAAAATTTCAAGATAAGATTTTCCTTATTATTATTAACTTCATATACATATTCAAGCCTTCGTGTTACTCTCGAATTTACTGCAATCTTTTACTGAAGTGGACATAATTAATATTTGCAGAGGCAGTGTTGGAATTTCATGACATCGGTTATAAAGAAATTATTCAGATTTTCATTCTGACTCCTATGTTCCCTGGAAAGTTAATCACTATTCAAAATAATACACACACACACACACACACACACACACACTTTTTGTCTCAGTTTGGTATCAACATATAAATTAATTCATTGTTTTTCTTGTGTGATATTTATCTGCAGTACAAAAAAAAAGAGGGAAGGGTATGGTAGAGGGCAAGGGTATGGTAGAGGGCAAGGGTGAGGTAGAAGGTGCAATTAAATGATGGATGGACAGGAGAGGAAGGGGGTGGAGGAGAAGGAACAAGGGTGTGTGTACTCTCTCTCTTTCTCTCTGGAAGCTGAGTGACCATCCAATACCCCCCCCCCCACCCCCTTACCCAGCTACAGCTTGGACGTGGTTTTAAGAAGTTTAATCCTATCAAACAAGTTCTTCTTAACTTGTATCCATGCCAGAACTCTTGAAGTCGATTGAGCAATGTGTGTGTGTGTGTGTGTGTGTGTGTGTGATGCTTCCTGAATGTAAATATAACTAAAATCTTGGTCTTCATAATCATGTAAACAAACTGATTTTGTCATTGAAATGTAAATCGACTTTGGGGTTGATAAGGAAATGTAAATACATGTACTGTCTAGCGAATTGAATATCGATGATAAAATTTATAGTCTGCAACAAATTAAACCACTGAAGCTTAAACCACAGGGTACCTGACACAAACAACACATTACATGCATGTTTAACGTGATATACCAACACCCGACCTGTTAAGTCTGACGGTAAGTAGGCTCACAGGTCCGGGTGTATCAAGCATAGACGTAGAAGGATGAACTAACACAGACGCTGGATATAAAGAATCTTGCATTTTTCAAAATATTACAATTTAAAGTAGTAGCACTAGCATGAATATTATTACTTAATGTTCATATCTTTATGAACTAATTATAAAATAAACTTACCTGTTTATGAAAAAAAATAACATGACTTTGTCTCGAGCATAGTGATACATATTCTAACTGAACATCAAAGCAACAATAGGGAGGCATCACAGGTAATCAGGTCAGATCACGTTCCCTGTGATGGCGACCAACCATGCTGTGATGGCAATTATTGTTATGTTATGCTCGTTTACCTCTCTATATCACCAACAGTACAGATACTGTATTTAGAGGGTTTTATTTCATATTTTGTTTATGTCTATACAAGATCATTACTTAATAAATCTTGAAACTAACACTTAGTGAAGTGCTAAAAAAACTTGATAGTTGCAGTACAGTCCACGCCGCTTATGAGCCACACAGATTGGCGGCCTTGAAATTCCTAACCAGCAACTTGGCTGGGTCCATCCCTCCCCCACCTCACTAAACACACAAACGGGACAATGATCGTAGGTCAGGCAATATATCACAGTCATACTGGAAAATATCCTTATGGACAGAATATCAGAAAGTTACTGAGTGTCATTTAGATAAGTTTTAAAGACTTAACAAGATAGAACTACCATTTTTTTAATTAGTACCCTGACTGTATTGTACTGCTCTGTACTTGAATTACAATTATTATAATTTATAAACAACATGTCTCAGTGCTTTACGAAAAACGTATTCCTCAGCACGAAACAAGCTTTCAAAATCTCAACTAGGGAATGCCGACATTTAATCTAAAATTGATCTTGTTAACTAACTCTCATACGTGTGTGTGACAGGGAAGGAGACAGTGTCATGGCTCGGGGAGGAGACCCTGAGGAGATACATGAAGCTCAAGCCCGCCACCCACGTCCCCAACAAGACTGAAGCAGTGGCCAGCGTCCGCAAGACTCGAGGCGGTGCCATCTTGGATCCTTCAGATAATGTCAGCGACGTCTTGGATGATAATGACTTCGTGTCTGTTGGTGAGACGACTGATGATCGTCGTTGTTGTATATTAAACCTTTATTGAGAAACATAATTACAGTATAGGACCATTAAAATATACTGTGAGCATTGTATTTTTCTCTCACATCAAATGATAAAGATATACAGTATTTACTAAGTTAACTGTAAGAAATATCAACTGAACCTAACAACTTATCAATAGTTCCTTCTTCTGTTATTAAGTTACCTTTCATCAAGTTTCTTCTCTTATCACCAATATCATTATAATTATTACATCTTATTATTTTGTTTATTTACTGACTTAGTTCTGGACAGCGACCGACCCAATCCTATAACGGAGCAGGCGGAGGTGAAGTACGTGACGGAGCAAGTGTATCCTTCCCTCGGCCACTACACTACACTATGACAAGTCTTTCCCCAGGTCTCTTCCACCACCTTGATGTTACTCTATTCCTGACACTAGCTGACCAAAACAAACACTACATCACAAAAAACTCTCATAATATCCTTGCTTATTCTTTCATCCCTACAAAGCAACATTCGCCGAAAATACATCATAAGACTAATTACTCGACAGTATTTCACCAAAATTCATAAAAATTTTAGTATTTCAGTCACACACACACACACACACACACACACACACACACACACACACACACACACACTAAAAAAAACATTGGAAAGTAAATAATAATAATATAAAGAGACAAAACCGTAATTTCCTTAACAAGTCTCAGGCCAGGTCTCTACACACCCCCGGACGAGTACCTGACGCTGGATGGCGCCACCCTCACGCCGGAGGACCTCATAGCGCTGGGGAAGGGCGCCTATAAGATCAGGGTGAGTGTCGATACATCTGCCGGAAACCTTCGGGGTGCCCATACCAGAAATCTTGAGATACTTGAATAAAAAAAGTCAGGCTGTTTCTTCGTTGTTATGGGAACCTTGGGGTGTCTGAAATAAACGTTAAATCTGAGGAACTTCAACACTACCGATTATGACTTGAGAACCTTCTCTAATCTGGTAACAATACTCTCACAAAGTATACTATGATGACAATGATTTAATAGCATTCTCTAGCAATAATTATACAGAATAGATTAGCTATGTTTAATAGTATATATATATATATATATATATATATATATATATATATATATATATATATATATATATATATATGGTAGTATCGTCAAGTTTACAAAAAAAATAATAATACGACAACAAAATAACAATAATAATAATACAACTAATAATTATAATTATTAGCAAATTAATGGTAACACCTGACAGGTAATACGACAAAACATCACTGTGAGACGTAATTACCTGTGCTTACCTGTACCTGCCTATAATTAAAGACACAACACCTGGGCACTGTATTATCGACACTCTTTAGATTATATTTTAATTAAACAAAGGTGTGCGTTTTAACGTTGACTCTTATTCAATGGTTGATTATGTAATACCAATCTAGTGTGTGTGTGTGTGTGTGTGTGTGTGTGTGTGTGTGTGTGTGTGTGTGTGTGTGTGTGTGTGTGTGTTTTTCTATCTTTCATATCGTCCATCTATTTTGTTATTCATTTAATCATCTCTCTCCCCCTCTCTCTTTCCTTTCCTTTTCCTTTCTCTCCCTCTCTCTCCCGCCCCCCTCTCTTTCTCCCACATCTAACAGACCCTCGATATAACGGACTTTCCTCACCACACAGTCCGTTAAATAGAGGATTCACATCTAACAGACCCTCGATATAACGGACTTCCCTCTCCACACAGTCCGTTAAATAGAGGATTCACATCTAACAAACCCTCAATATAACGGACTCCCCTCTCCATATAGTCCGTTAAATAGAGAGGAGGTTCCACTACATATCAATTGAAACCATATCATGACCTTTCCTTCCCTCCTTCACCCACAGCTGAGTCAGGAGTCGGAGGTGGCGGTGAAAGCTGCTCGTGTGTTGGTAGAGGAGATCATCAAGGAGAAGAAAGGTCAGGTCACGAGAGGTCAAATGTGAATCTGGGTCTTGTTATGTCATGTTTGTAGACTGTTCTATATTGACGTACAATTCAGTTATTTAAAAAAAAAGGTTTTCTAATAAAAAATACCCAAATATAAAGATATAAAGGAAGAGTTAGTCAGTAATGTCTAGTTAAATAAATAAATAAATATATAAATAAATAAATAAATAAATAAATAAATAAAATAAAAAATAATAAAAAAAATAAAAAAAATTCCAACCCTGACCACCGCCGGCCATAGGTATAAAATAAGTATTGTAGGATTATTACTTTACAACTATAAATACCGCATTTAATTCACCATTATTATTATTATGACTATCAACAGCATATATCTTCATTATTATTGTTATTCTTAGTACCATCAACATAAATACTTAATTAACAAAGAATATATTAATCCATGTATTTGGTTAGGTTATGTTAGGTTAGGTTCGGTTAGGTTAGGTTAGGTTCGGTTAGGTTAGGTTATGTTGGGTTAGGTTAGGTTCGGTTAGGTTAGGTTAGGTTATGTTGGGTTAGGTTGGGTTAGGTTAGGTTAGGTTAGGTTCGGTTCGGTTAGGTTAATATACTACAGTAGGTAGATAGAATGGACCCCCAAAAAACAATTCAAAACATACAATATGTAACTGGAAAATCCTCGGTGCGCTTTGTGACCCTATTATGTTATGTGGGGGAGATATAGTGACTGATTGCTAGTTTATGTGTTTATTTGTTACAGTGGTGTGGCATCACGACGGATTTGGCAAGTTCGCCCGCACGATCATTCTGAGGACAAACAGAGCAAAAAATTCCTCCGCATCCCACACGCTATCACATAACCCCTAAGCTGTACTGTATATCTGTTATGTAATCAACCACCACAGGATTCGTTGGATTAATCTGAAGCTTTTGGTGTTTATATTTTCCTCCCATAGTGTGATTACAGTTTGTGGATCACCTGTATAATAGACACCCTAATGCTAACTTAACCTAACTGAACGCAACAAAACCTAACGCTAACCTAATTGAACGTAAACCCAAACGTAACCTAACCTAACTAAGCGTAATCTACTCTAATCTAACCTTAACTAACCTAATCTAACCTAGCCTAACAGAGCGTAATCTACTCTAATCTAACCTTAACTAATGTAATCTAACGTAACCTAACCGAGCATAATCTACTCTAATCTAACCTTAACTAACCTAACCTAACCAAATCTAAAACACACCAGACTTGTTATCATTGTGTTGTTGTAATAATCATAGTCTCAGTCTCCCACATCATCCTAGAGCCGGTGTTCTACAGTAAATGACATAATTAATAATGTCAAGATTACTCACCTGGACGTCCCCCCCCCACCCACTATATTACTGTAAATTAAGGCAGTGAGTTAAACAGGTGTTGGATGTCTTGGTGTTATATATGTCCGTTTGTTTATTCCTGTGGTGTGTGTGTGTGTGTGTGTGTGTGTGTGTGTGTGTGTGTGTGTGTGTGTGTGTGTGTGTGTGTGTGTGTGTGTGTGTGTGTGTGTGTGTGTGTGTAGGGTGGGAATCAGAAGTGTGTCATTGGAGTGTGGAAGGAACAATTAGAGTTGCCAAGTGTTATTTCCTGCCTGGTACTGGGCTGTTATATTATGCTCTCTCTCCTCTCTCTCTCTCACCCTCTTCTCCTCTCTATCCCCCTTACAGAGAGCTGACAGTCCAGTCCACTTTGCTGGTGTGGGCAACCCACTCAAGAGACAGGATGTTGCTGGCCCTCAGGATCAACGTACTAGCCAAGGGGTGTTCAGGCATCAGTCACGAGGTCATCTTACAATACATCGAGGCTTTCAATGGTCAGTCTTAATAGTTATCGTAAATCACTAATAGTTATCATGGTCAGTCTTAATAGTTATCGTAAATCACTAATAGTTATCGTAATGGTCAGTCTTAATAGTTATCGTAAATCTCCAATAGTTATCGTAATGGTCAGTCTTAATAGTTATCGTAATGGTCAGTCTTAATAGTTATCGTAATGGTCAGTCTTAATAGTTATCGTAATGGTCAGTCTTAATAGTTATCGTAATGGTCAGTCTTAATAGTTATCGTAAATCTCCAATAGTTATCGTAATGGTCAGTCTTAATAGTTATCGTAAATCTCCAATAGTTATCGTAATGGTCAGTCTTAATAGTTATCGTAAATCTCCAATAGTTATCGTAATGGTCAGTCTTAATAGTTATCGTAAATCTCTAATAGTTATCGTAATGGTCAGTCTTAATAGTTATCGTAAATCTCTAATAGTTATCGTAATGGTCAGTCTTAATAGTTATCGTAAATCATTAATAGTTATCGTTTCTAAATACGTATCTCTGTGATCAATCTTTACTGTTATCGTAAATATCTAATGGTTATGTCAATAGTTAAACTTTATAGTTATTATAAATCTCTAACGGTTATCTCATAGTCATCTAATTGTTATCTTAGTCATCATAATAGTTACCTAATGATCAGTCTCATACAGTCCTTTAACAACTAGTTAGCCTTAACAGTTATCATTAGTTATCATATGATCAGCCTTATATAATTCTCTAATGTTTATCTTATTTCGATATAAAAGCATAAATGATGTTTGTTAACTTCAATTTTTTGTGTGTTCCCTTTAAGAGTCTTGTCTGCCGTGGGTACCAGAGAAGGGGACAGTGGGGGCATCAGGAGATCTGGCACCTTTGTCTCACTTAGCACTAGGCATGATGGGTGAGGGCAAGATGTGGAGCCCAAAAACTGGCTGGGGAAATGCTAAATATGTAAGTATTAATGTGTGTGTGTGTGTGTTGGGGAGAGAGGGGGAGAATAGGAGGGTAGAAGGAAAAAGACTAAGGTTTCGAGTCAAGGAGCTCATTATCTTCAAGAGGTAGAGTCAACGTGCACAAGAGGTTAAAAAAAATAATTGTGCTCAAAGCATCAGTAATTGTAATCGTGTGTATAAACAGACTTATTCTTGAGATTAAGTAACGTACTCGTAGCACTAAATCCTCATACTGAGCAGAACTAAAGACATTGTATTCAGGGGATAACATATTAAGAGTCAAAGTTGTCACGCACACAGGGTTCAGTTATTGCATCTTACTATTTAAGGCGTCACCATAGTCATGGGATTAAGTCATCATCCTTTAATCAGGGTTCCCACAAAAATCAGACTTTTATATTTCACGACTTTTCTATGACCAGATCGATTAAAACCTTCTATGTCAGGGGTTCTCAACCAGGGGGGAATTTCCCCCTCAGGTTTTCAGGAAACTGATACTAATATGGAAAAAATAAAGGATTTTCAGTATTATATGCATATTATTTGGAATGCACTTTTTGAGGCAGACAATCTTGGAAAGGACGGAGGAATGACATTCTGACATATGGTGAAAGGAGTGCATGGGGCAAACAAGGTTGAGAACCACTGTTCTATGTGAACTTGCTAGTGCAGCCAAAACTCTCATGTTTATTGAAATTCTACAGTTTACAGTAAAGATAATACCTTTAGTTTTCTCTACCCTAAGCACTTCAGTATGATGACGACACTTAGCGATTTTTTTTTCTGGTCATATGTGACCTGCTCTACGTGACTGTATGAGTGTGTGACAGCAAGAAGCATAATTCTCAAAAGTTTACAGAAATTCCCTTAATGTGATTATGACTGTGCAGCATAAATGGTGTGTATATTCCTCGAGTAAATATTGTTGGAACTGAAGCAGGACAATTAAATAACTAGGAATACTGTTACCAAATTTTTACAGAGAGATTGGTGACATTGTTCTACTTAATAAAATCTTGGAAACCGTTGATATTTTAATGGACCGTGAATTATTATGAGATTTAAAGTAGAAATCATGAAGGTGGTTGACACGTTTAACTGTTCCGGGTTAAGTTATTAAGTGAACATATGCCTCAACCTTCTGTTATGTAAACAAAACATAGTTACCTTGTGTGTGTCAGATAGAGATGGTAATACCTGTATTCTCAGCGGTGTTGACGTCATCAGATTCAGTCCCTTTACTTCTGCCATCATACTTTCTTACTGTTTCTTCATGTTGTCTTCTTTGAATCTTAATATGTGACATGGGATAAATAAGATACTCATCTGTGTCGACTACAACACAACACAGACACTAGGATCTACCCTGTAAATGTGTGTTAGTAAAACAGATCCCTAAAGCTGAACATTTAACAAGCCTCGATGTGTCTCACTACCTGAAGTTGGCACCGTTATACGTTTCCAGTACTGGCGGGGCAGGTGTTAGTACAATACAGTATGGCAGACAGAGAACATCTAATATCCTCCCCTGACACACCAAGGCTCGCGGGTCAACAAATCACAAATCTGTAATTTATGGATCTGCAATACTGTATTAAAATTCAAATTAAATGACATATCAATCTAATGCAATGTTACATTAAATAGTTAAGCTTTTAAACTGGTAAACTTGCACTTACCTTAACCCTTTCTTGGAGCGTCGTGAACACGTCTGTAAAACAACACAATATTAGTTGTAGAATTTATCTGTGTTCCTAAAACAATCTTTCGTAGGAAATTTTTTTCCAGTGATCGGCTCCCATACCCGCCTACCAGATTCACTTACTATAAACTTAAGGCTGAACTAAACCAACGTTGCTAAATCCTAGTGCTCAAGAGGTTAAGTCATCGCACTCATGAGGGAGATCTCAGTACTTCATGGGGTCGTTCTCGTACTCTGAGTTCAACAAATAAGTTCTTCTCCCCATTTGGCCACCAGGTATTGGAGGCTCACAACCTGAAGCCCGTCAAGCTGAATGCCAAGGAAGGTATTGCACTCATCAACGGGACGCAGCTTATTACCTCTCTCGGAGCCGAGGCCCTGGAGAGAGCTGAAATAGTAGCCAAACAGGCGGACGTGGTGGCCGCCCTCACGTTGGAGGTGCTGAAAGGCACCTCCAGGGCCTTCGACAGTGGTGAGTCCCCCCCCCTATCTTTTCTTTCTTTCCTCTCTCTCCCGCCCCCCCCTCTCTGTCTTTTCCCTCTCTCTCACCCGATTATTTCTTTCTGGCTTACTTGCTAAACATGCAACTTACACCTAATGAAATACTGAGGAACGCAAAGTGTAATCCACAACTACAATAATAATTCACAGAGGTAATTATGAATTCCCCCCACTACGGAGTGGTGCTGTATTTATAAATAATTGTTAATGAAACTTACAAAGACATTAACTGCTAGCCAACTGACCTTTGCCATAATATTTACAAGGCAGAATATCTTTGAAAAGACAATAATTCCCAGGCATGTGATCTTTATAATAATAATATTTGGTATGAATTAAACTTTACAACAATGCTAATAATATAAAGTACAGTAATTACTATTATGATTATATGCAGGGTAACTTTTATGATGATAATTAACATATAAGTGACTTTTGTAATAAAAATTAGGAATGTAGTTACCTTTAGTGTGTCAATAAACACTATGTAGGTTACCTTTATCTACAATAATAAAAGTGTCTGCCTGTGTGTCAGTCAGTCAGTCAGTGCCGTACCTCCAAGACCATGAAACTTTAACACCTGCAACTTTGCATACACACTAAGGGGTCCCTGGGGAAGTACACCTCATTGTTACTTTTTAGATTTGACAAAAGTAGAAATATAAAAAAAGTAAATACAAATAAATACAAAAATAATTGAGAGGGAGGAGTGCAAGGATCCATAATGCATGTTAGTGATGTAGTGAAGATGATTATGTAAAGATCATAGTAAGTTGATGTAATTGGGTTGAGTTAGTTTTGGTTATGTTGAGCTGATAAGGGTTGGGTTGGGTTGGGTTGGGTTGGGTTGGATTACTTTAAGCAGGGTTGGTGTGAGTTGACTTTGGTTAGTTTAGGCTGGATTAGGTTAGGTTAGATTAGGTTAGGTTAGGTCAGGTCAGGTTGCATTTGATTACTGCAACCTGTGAGAAGCCAGGTAGGTTGACTAGTAATGACAGTAATTAACAGGTATGCAATCTTTACAGATGTACACAAGCTGCGTCACCACAAGGGCCAGATTGAGGTTGCCAGGAGAATCAGGGCGCTGCTGCACAACGACACATACTCCTCCGAGATTGCAGGTACCAGAGTGAGGGAGGGAGGGAGGGATGGAGAGAGTTAGAGAAAGCGAGTGAGTTAGAGATATTACAATAGAAAGAAAAAGAGAGAGATTAATCAGTTCCATCCCCTAACTCTCTCTCTCTCTATCTCTCAACCAGTCTAAACCAGAAAAATAAAAAAACAATCTCGTGAACAAAGATCAATCACCTTTAATAAACACCTAAACACCTTTCCTTGCCCCCATCTCTCTCTCCCTCACCATTCACAGAGTCACACAGGTTTTGCGATCGCGTACAAGATGCCTACACCCTCCGCTGCACTCCCCAGGTCCACGGCATCGTTCATGACACACTTCACTTTGTCCGTGGCATCCTTACTGACGAAATGAACTCTGCTACTGACAACCCCGTAAGATTTTAAAAGGCTACTACTACTACTACTACTACTACTACTACTACTAATAATAATAATAATCATCATATATTCGTACCAAACAAACTACAGTATATAATAACGAAATATCAATAGTTTATAGGTATGATCTTTAACGAAATTTCCCCCACCCAAAAAATCCCTTGACACCTGCACCATAAAATAACCAGCTGTTTATCCCCCACCAGCTGGTACTGTCGGAGAGGAAGGAGATCATCAGTGCGGGGAATTTCCACGGCGAGTATCCAGCTAAAGCCGCCGACTATCTCGCTATTGGTATACATGAAATAGCCAGTATGTCTGAGAGGAGGATTGAGCGTCTCGTTAATCCAGGTAAATGAGAAGACTCGTTAATCCAGGTAATAAGGAGACTCGTTAATCCAGGTAAATGAGGAGACTCGTTAATCCAGGTACAAAAGAAGAGTCTACTCATATTACATAGCAAGAGATTTAATATAAAATGTTAATCCAGGAAACAATGGAAGTTAATTAACCATCTACTGAGGGATATAACAAAGCTTCCATTACTATTAACACAGGTACCTGGTGGTGGGGGATGAGGGGATGAGGGAAGTGGGTGAGGGGGGAGGGTTGGATGGGTGAGAGGGGGGGGGTGGATGGGTGAGGAGAGTGGGAGGGGTCGGGTGGGTGGGTGGGTGAGGGGGGGGTCTCTACTATATAAACAGTATCTACATGTTGTTAATACTTCACTAAATTACAATATCAACAAATAGTTTTTTAATAAATCCCTCGTATTAACCAGCGTCTCTTGATAGTGCTTGATAGTTCTCACCTTCACACCCTGATTGCAAACGTCCGCTCACCTAAGATTTAATATTGATCTTAAATTATTCATGGATATATCACTATCAAATATACCTGTGTTATACCTGGAGCTCCTATAGTATGTCAGGTGAAAGCATAATTTATTAATTTATGATAGACCTAATCTGTGTGTGTGTGTTTGGTTCCTATTTCTTGTAGCCTTGAGCGAGCTGCCAGCGTTCTTAGTGAAGGATGGAGGTCTCAACTCGGGTTTTATGTTGGCTCACTGTACGGCTGCCTCTCTAGGTACTGTATACACCCACTGTTCTATATCCCAACCCTCAACCTCCCTCTTAAGACATTAGTAAGTTTTCTCCCCAGTGACTCTTGAGATGGGAACACTTATCTTAATTACTGATCAAGAGTGTCTATGTTTGGCGTCACTGTAGGTAATATCTTTATTTTGTATCTTAATTTTATGTATGTTAGATGTTCTTTTGTATCTTCTATTAAGGAAAAAGATAATGATATATATTTGAGATTTTAGGATCTTTTTTTTTGTCTTTCTTTAATCTATGTCTAGTTAACATCAGTATTTTAATTCTTTCAGACAAACAATAAGTATATTTCTACCACTTGTAACGGTCTCTCATATATTTGTTCGCACGCACGCACGCACGCACGCACGCACACACACACACACACACACACACACACACACACACCTTCGTTAACTTTTTACAATAACCTTAGATAAAATAAAATCTCATACTTATTCTCTATTTACCATACGACATAAACCACTACTGACGTATCCTCCTGCTGGTGTTGATGTTCTGTACAGTGTCGGAGAACAAGGTGTTGTGTCATCCGGCCAGCGTAGACTCCCTCACCACTTCGGCAGGCACAGAGGACCACGTATCTATGGGAGGGTTCGCTGCACGTAAGGCTCTCATGGTAAGTCTCTAATAGACTCCACCAGTAGTCCTCCTAATACAAGAGTGTCACTACAGGTAAAAAGCTAGCGGGAAAATTCTTGTGATGTAGTTTTCCATATGAGAGAGAGAGAGAGAGAGAGAGAGAGAGAGAGAGAGAGAGAGAGAGAGAGAGAGAGAGAGAGAGAGAGAGAGAGAGAGAGAGAGAGAGAGAGAGAGAGAGGAGAGAGAGAGAGAGAGAGAGAGAGAGAGAGAGAGAGAGAGAGAGAGAGGAGATAGAGAGAGAGAGGAGAGAGAGAGAGAGAGAGAGAGAGAGAGAGAGAGAGAGAGAAGAGAGAGAGAGACAGAGAGAGAGAGAGAGAGAGAGAGAGAGAGAGAGAGAGAGAGAGAGAGAGAGAGAGGAGAGAGAGAGAGAGGAGAGAGAGAGAGAGAGAGAGAGAGAGAGAGAGAGAGAGAGAGAGAGAGAGAGAGAGGAGGGGAGAGAGAGAGAGAGAGAGAGAGAGAGAGAGAGAGAGAGAGAGAGAGAGAGAGAGAGAGAGAGAGAGGGAGAGAGAGAGAGAGAGGAGAGAGAGAGAGAGAGAGAGAGAGAGAGAGAGAGAGAGAGAGAGAGAGAGAGAGAGAGAGGAGAGAGAGAGAGAGAGAGAGAGGAGAGAGAGAGAGAGAGAGAGAGAGAGAGAGAGAGAGAGAGAGAGAGAGAGAGAGAGAGAGAGAAAGAGAGAGAGAGAGAGAGAGAGAGAGAGAGAGGGGAGAGAGAGAGAGAGAGAGAGAGAGAGAGAGAGAGAGAGAGAGAGAGAGAGAGAGAGAGAGAGAGAGAGAGAGAGAGAGAGAGAGAGAGAGAGAGAGAGAGAGAGAGAGAGAGAGAGCACAACTATCACCATATGACTTAGTTCACCATCACCAAGGCATAATTAAGACCACATTAATCACCATACATCAAATGCACCATTAATCACTCAATCTCCAAGTGTACCATAAGCGACTACAAGATCCATTACCTACTACAACTACTATCACCAGATGCTCCCCAAACAACCACCACAATCCGCAATCTTGTAGCCTGCCACGATTTCCAACCAGCACTATAAATCAATCCCAACTAACACTACCACCATCTCCAACCTGCATTACCACCATCCCAACCAGCACTACCACCATCCCAACCAGCACTACCACCATCCCAACCAGCACTACCACCATTCCTCTTCCTCACAGGTGGTAGAAAACGTAGAGCGGGTAATCGCCATAGAACTCTTGGCCGCTTGTCAGGCTATCGAGTTCCTCCGACCACTCAAGACCACCACCCCCCTGGAGGAGGTCATCAGGGTCGTTCGCTCCGTCTCCAGGTGAGGGAGGGAAGGGGAGCAGAGAGAGGGAGGGAAGGAGGGAGGGAAGGAGAGGGAAGGAAGAACGGAAGGGGAGGGATAGAGAGGGAGAGGGAGGGATAGAGAGGGATTAAGAGGGAGAAAGAGGGAGTACGTGAGTATAAAACGTCAATAAAAATGTAAATTGTGTCTGTATGAGTGTCACCTGTATGTCTCCCGCAGTGCCTTCGATAAAGACCGCTTCATGGCCCCAGAGATCAACATCACCACCGAGCTGATTAAGGACAACAAGATCTGGAATGCTGTGAAACACCACATAGAACACTACCACCACGTCCAGGTGAGTGAGAGAGAGAGTGTGTGAAAGACCGTGAGACAGATAGTGTCAGAAAGAGATCGTGAGACAGAGACAGAAAGAGAGAGGCAGAGACAAGCAGGCTGAGAGACAGAGACAGAAAGTGAAAGACAGAAAAACAGACAAATAGACAGACATACAGAGAGAACACGACAGAGAGACAAAGATAAAACGTAGGGAAAAAGGAGTAAAACAAATTAATAACATGTCCCGGAACTTCCCCTAACAGTAGCAGGATGAAAATAAATGCATCAAAATAAGAAGATTCCATTACAAGACTTCTCTAACAAATGTCTCCTCCCTCAGGACGTGGAGACTCGTGTGTTCTCCCCCAGCATGAGTTTCATCGGCAGTGGTCCCCCTCGGCCCCTCAAGCGGGGGATCAACAACGGTGGGGGTCCACGCTCCCCTGCACACCTAAAGAGGCAGCGCACCTCCAGCAGGAACAACCCCTAGACCGACACCAACCTGTAACTAATATGGACAACAAGTACCAGCGCCAAACACCGATGCTGAGGGAAGGAGCGTCAGCTGCAGTACAGGAACGACAAGACCAAGTGTAACAACATCAGCCCTGGACAATTAATACAGACCAATGCCATAATTAATAATTTGTTGGAGAAACAAGAACGATAAATAGTAGTAAAAAAAAAGCCGCCAGACAGGAAACTTATATAAATCTCACACGCTATGTAATTGAAAATATTGTTACATCTATAAGCTTACACCCACAGTAGTTTTTTTTTATATAAAATAAATTGCCTGGCTTTGTTAAGTCAAGCAATGTTTTCTTTTTCTTTCCTCCTTTTTAAAGTACTGTACGGCTTACATGGACCAATAACACATCTTGGTCACCATTGTTTTTGGTAACACATGGAATACTCGACTGATGTAAATCAATGAATATGTTGATATTCGCGATGTGTACTGTACAACATATAAGTTGAGGAGATGGGCAAATACATGTGGATGTTTCTACTTGTTGTGTCACTTCCCTGTAACGTGGCTTGCGTTACTCTCCCTATATTCTCCCCTTCTTTGAGGCTTCTGCATCACCTTGAGATTATAGACACATACAGTAAATATACATTGTTTTGAAATGACTGCTACCGTATCAACACAACATAACCTTCTGCTTTAAAAAAGGTTGATTTAATAAAGTTACCAGCATACACCGAGTTTTCCTCTCTAACAGTTTCTGAAGCACGATCACTATACAATTCTGTGTTGTCATTGTGAACAGTGAACTGATTAACAGACGGTGGTCCTGACTAAATACTAGTGTTGGAACCTCTATTGGATGATAAACAGTATCGACCACAACTCATCTTAGTTTTCTATATTATATTAAATGTCATCCACGTTTTACGGCCATTTTCCACGCTTGTTTGGGTCTCTTGCAGTCTCTCTCTTGTCAGGTTATTTACTCTAATGTCATTTCTTATAACCTCTCGCCGTGTCATTCTTGGCTGACCCCTGGCTCTCCTACCCTCCACACTTAGGATTATGTTCCTCTTAACCCAATTAGTCTCATCTATTCTCTCCACGTGCCCAATTCATCTCAGCCTGCCTCTACCCATAACTTCGCCGATCAGTGGCGAAGAGGATAAATCTTATTAATAATAATTGATATTCAGTCAATTTCACCAAGGACAGCTGACAAATCCAACGCTGCTTAACTTCGCTGATTGGACAAGAAGCGGGCAAAGGCTGACCTCTTACTGCCATAGTTGCTGATGATGACTGACCATAAGGCAGCAGTAGAGGACGCCATAACACCACTCCTCTTACACAGATTTATTCCAGATATACAATACAAACAACAATAACCAACAGCAGCATACACCCAGCCCTCTAGTGCACAAGTGGGTAAATTAAAGCAAGTTACTCCTCGCAAACCTCAGAAGACCTCTCACAGAAAATAGTTACTCAGAGAAAATGAAAAGGAACAATCTTAGTGGGGAACATTAAGAACAAGTTATAAAGCTGAATACAAGGATCACTTCAACCACCACACAGATCTCTCAGAAATATTACCGTCTCTATTCTCCGTCTAAGTGGAGATGTTGCCATAAGTGTTTCACCAAAAATAAGATTTTCTGTGTAATAAAGATCTGAGTCCGGATTCACTTAAATTTTGGACAAATTAAAACAGTAATTATATATTTTTTTTAGTTTGATACCATTTTGGACTTTTGAATGTCCCTCAACACATTTTTGAGAGCTAACATAACCATCAATAATATGATTTAACACCACATCTATGAGAGAGGTGACTGAGGGCGAAAGGGTACGACATATACTTGCATTAAGAGAGATGGGAGGCTGTCTTGAGGTGTTGTGTAAGTCCATAATATCTGATCACGTGAAGAGAAGGTCACAATTGAAGTCAATGAGTGATAAAATGAGTGAAAAGTGCAATTCAATCTATTCAAAAAACACTATTGCCGTCAGATCAGAATGAACAAGTTACCCTAAAACAGAAAACACTTCAAAGAAAATGAATATATTTCTCCATCTTGAGCACCAACTAATAAAAACCCTTTAACTGTGTATTACCGAGAATTAAGAGAACATAAGAGTGAAGGAAACTACAGCGGGCCTATTGGCAGTACCTTTTCCACGTGTATTTAAATATTCTTACAACAACACCCTTCCAAATCCACTCATTGTATCAATAAACCAAAACAGTTACTTATAAAGCTTCTCTATAACAATGAATTGCTCTTATGTGTAGCCTCTGTATGACGCGCCCTTGCTGAAATATAAAGTACATCATTACTATTATTAGATCCTACAGTGTAATTATAAGACTACAGAATCTATCACAGTACAAATTAATGTGATGGGTGATATAAGGGGTTTTTATAACAGTAAATAAGTGTTATTGGTGTGAGAAGAAGTACATATTGTATATAGGGATGTGTGTTTAACTTGTCCTAACTAATGCTAAGTCACTGTCCATTAATACTGTTCTAACTAATGCTAAGTCACTGTCCAATAATACTGTTCTAACTAATGCTAAGTCACTGTCCATTAATACTGTTCTAACTAATGCTAAGTTACTGTCCATTAATACTGTCCTAACTAATGCTAAGTCACTGTCCATTAATACTGTCCTAACTAATGCTAAGTTACTGTCCATTAATACTGTCCTAACTAATGCTAAGTCACTGTCCATTAATACTGTCCTAACTAATGCTAAGTCACTGTCCATTAATACTGTCCTAAATAATGCTAAGTTACTGTCCAATAATACTGTCCTAACTTATGCTAAGTTACTGTCCAATAATACTGTCCTAACTATTGCTAAGTTACTGTCCATTAATACTGTCCTAACTATTGCTAAGTTACTGTCCAATAATACTGTCCTAACTATTGCTAAGTCACTGTCCATTAATACTGTCCTAACTATTGCTAAGTTACTGTCCATTAATACTGTCCTAACTATTGCTAAGTTACTGTCCAATAATACTGTTCTAACTAATGCTAAGTCACTGTCCAATAATACTGTTCTAACTATTGCTAAGTCACTGTCCATTAATACTGTCCTAACTATTGCTAAGTCACTGTCCAATAATACTGTCCTAACTATTGCTAAGTTACTGTCCATTAATACTGTCCTAACTATTGCTAAGTTACTGTCCAATAATACTGTTCTAACTAATGCTAAGTCACTGTCCATTAATACTGTCCTAACTATTGCTAAGTCACTGTCCATTAATACTGTCCTAACTATTGCTAAGTTACTGTCCAATAATACTGTTCTAACTAATGCTAAGTCACTGTCCAATAATACTGTTCTAACTAATGCTAAGTCACTGTCCAATAATACTGTTCTAACTATTGCTAAGTCACTGTCCATTAATACTGTCCTAACTAATGCTAAGTCACTGTCCATTAATACTGTCCTAACTATTGCTAAGTCACTGTCCAATAATACTGTCCTAACTATTGCTAAGTTACTGTCCATTAATACTGTCCTAACTATTGCTAAGTTACTGTCCATTAATACTGTCCTAACTATTGCTAAGTCACTGTCCATTAATACTGTCCTAACTAATGCTAAGTCAATCAACCATTAACACTGTCCTAATCCATCGCCAAGTCACTGTCCATTAATACTGTCCTAACTATTGCTAAGTCACTGTCCATTAATACTGTCCTAACTATTGCTAAGTCACTGTCCAATAATACTGTCCTAACTATTGCTAAGTCACTGTCCAATAATACTGTCCTAACTATTGCTAAGTCACTGTCCAATAATACTGTCCTAACTATTGCTAAGTCACTGTCCAATAATACTGTCCTAACTAATGCTAAGTCACTGTCCAATAATACTGTCCTAACTAATGCTAAGTCACTGTCCATTAATACTGTCCTAATTATAAGTCAACCACATCACTGTCCTAATCCATTGCTGTCACTGTCCAATACTGTCCTAACTAATGCTAAGTCACCGTCCAATACTGTCCTAACTATTGCTGTCAATCAGTCCAATAATACTGTCCTAACTATTGCCAAGTCACCGTCCAATAATGACTGTCCTAACTAATGCTAAGCTCACTGTCCAATAATACTGTCCTAACTAATGTTGTCACTCGGCCATTAATACTGTCCTAACTAATGCCAAGTCACTGTCCATTAATACTGTCCTAACTAATGCTGTCACTGTCCATTAATACTGTCCTAACTATTGCCAAGTCACCGTCCAACAATACCGTCCTAACTAATGCCAAGTCACCGTCCATTAATACTGTCCTAGAGTCACTGTCCAATAATACTGTCCCTAATGCTAAGTCACTGTCAATACTGTCACTAATGCTAGTCACTGTCCATTAATGCTAAGTCACTGTCCAATAATACTGTCCTAACTAATGCTAAGTCACTGTCCAATAATACTGTCTAACTAATGCTAAGTCACTGTCCATTAATACTATTCTAACTAATGCTAAGTCACTGTCCTATACTGTCCTAACTTATTGCTAAGTCACTGTCCATTAATACTGTCCTAACTATTGCTAAGTCACTGTCCAATAATACTGTCCTAACTAATGCTAAGTCACTGTCCAATAATACTGTCACTAATGCTAAGTCACTGTCAATAATACTGTCCTAACTAATGCTAAGTTACTGTCCATTAACAATACTTACTAATCACTGTCCATTTACTGTCCTAACTAATGCTAAGTCACTGTCCATTAATACTGTCCTAACTATTTAAGTCACTGTCCAATATACTGTCCTACTAATGCTAAGTCACTGTCCATTAATACTGTCTAACTAATGCTAAGTCACTGTCAATAATACTGTCCTAACTAATGCTAAGTCACTGTCCAATAATACTGTCCTAACTAATGCTAAGTCACTGTCCAATAATACTGTTCTAACTAATGCTAAGTCACTGTCCAATAATACTGTCCTAACTAATGCTAAGTCACTGTCCAACAATACTGTAATTTGGATGGCATTTTGGGGGTTAGGTTTATGCTGTAGTTTAAGTCAGCCAATCAAGCGGGTCGCAAATCTCCAATTACGAAGGAAATTTCAACATACGAATCATTGTGAATTCAGGTTCAGGCTCCTCCCTGTCTATGTTATACTCTATCTGTCTCTTTAGTTTATTCTATCTGCTGTCTGTCTGCTCTGATTCTGTCTATCAATCTCTTCTCCTCTATGTCTGTCTACCCCATTTTCCCTCCGTGCAAACTTCTGGTACAGTCACATAACTTCGACGTAGTAAACTTGGATGTGGTTATGGCATGATCAGCTCTCTCTCTCTCTCTCTTTCATCTTACTCCTGTACCCTGTCACCCAGTCTGACCTGAGCTCAGCCGGCTGCCACACACACACACACACACACACACACACACACACACACACACACACACACACACACACACACACACACACACACACACGTGCGTTAAGAGTCACACTGGGGCCGGGACGTGTTGCCAGGGGAACCACCTCTTTGT